GGCAGATTCTATAAGACAATATATATTACTGTCTCCAACCTTAGAAGGTTGGCTTTTTGGTTGGCCTTTGGCCATGCATTCTTAACAAAGTGATATCAAGCCCACGAAACAACGAAACTAGAGATAGAGCATGGAGAGTCAAATGTACCATAGTGTATTCATCTTTATAAACTAAGGTGTTCCAAACATGTACATCTTAGGAACAAAACCTTAGTGAGTGTACCAACTTATGTATCCTCTCCATTATATTAAACCAAACACTCAATCATTGTAAAGACTAAGGTTGTATACCTTAGTGAGTGCAGAAACCTATGTATCCTCTCTATGAGAGTAACCCATACACTCAACCCAAATCTACCTAGCTAATATTGTAAAGCCTAAAGAGGCTAGGGAAAGAATACTTGTAAAGCCTGGACAGGCTTGTCAAAGAATACTCACTAGAAGCCAGAAGTGGCTGAGTAAAGAATACTAGCGTTGATGAGTGAAGTCAAAGGGCTAGGAGTTGGTCGATAATACTCATTGCGAGCCAGAAGTGGCTGATCAAAGAATACTAGTGTTGATGAGTGAAGTCAATGGGCTAGGAGTTGGTCGATAATACTCACTGAGAACCAAAAGTGGCTGAGTAAAGAATACTAGCGTCAATAAGTGAAGACGAACCAGGAGTGGTTGAGAATACTCGGGCAACCAGAAGTGGTTTAAGAATACTAGCATCTACGAGTGAAGCTGACAATCCAGAAGTGGTTGAGAATACTTGGGACCAAGAGTGGTCATGACTTGGGTGCTCTATAATACTCACTGCGAGCTTAAAGAGGCTGAACAAATAATACTTGTACTTAATCGTTTATCTAGTGGAACCCTTCATTTAAAGGAGACTGGACGTAGCTCAGTTTGAGCAAACCAGTATAAAATACTTGCACTGCTTTAATGTTTCAGATGCACAATACTTGGTTGATTTAATATACTGAAAACTTCGTCTAATGCTTATCGTCTATTAAAACTATCTTCAAACGAAAATCATACATGTTCAACTTGTTATCCTAAAGAATGGTTTTTGTTTAAGAAGTATTTTCTCTAAGCAGACGATGAAACTCCTATATGCAAAATGTTTTTGTTAAACCAATTTTAGGTAGTATCTGTTAAGCATTCACTTATACCATTTTATTGGACGAAAGAGAGTATTCTTGCAAAAATATTTTTAAATGCCTTTGTTCACACACACACATATTCAACCCCCTCTTCTATGTGTTTTTCATCTAACTTCAGCTCTAAGTATATGATTGGCTTTTCCTCCATAAAGAATGTATGAGTATAGGTGGTGGCTTCGCGCATTTCATCAAGTATTATTAAAAGTGCAACTTCTTCAGCTTGTGCGACCATTATAGTGAGTAGGGAAGATTTGAGATAAGAGAGTTAGGGTTTGAGAGAGAGAGCTTGAGAGTTTAGGGTTTTGAAATTATGAAGCATAGATAATACGTTAATGAACGTGAGGGAAGATGTAGGGTTTTAAAAAAAAAAATTTCCGTTTTGATTTTCTATTATTGTTTGTATGACATGGCTCCTTTTTTCTTTCTTTGTGTAGAGTTTCGTACAACTTGCATTAAATTTGGGGTAAGGGATGTGTTTTTTTGAATAAAACCCTAAATGACGATTATGACACTTATTGAATTTTTAAGCGTTTTATTTTTGAAATGCAGAGAATGTTTGTCTTCGACTTTTATTAACGGATTCTGCGTTTTAATTTATGAAGGTCTTTTAATACAAATGTGCTAGACTGAATTTTCAAATGCATGGACTGATTATTCAAACGCAAGGAAGGTTTTCTAGACACTTCATTGGACGAAGACTCTCAAATGTAATAATTACTTACTCTATTCTGAGGGATGTTCAAATGCAGTGGTTTACTGTATTTGTTTTCCTACTATATTTTTAACTGTACCGGATGATAAATGTATATGAATATTCTAGTGTATCAGATGTGATATACTCTTATAACATATAGAACTTGCTTCAATGAAGTAGATGATTTGATACCTGCTTTACCTGTACCAGTTGTTCGTCCTTCTAGCCTTTTGATTTCCATCTTTCCTTTGTTCTTCTATGGATCATTGCGTACCCCTGCATTGTTAGATGCTCAACCCAAGGGGTTAAGCTTTGATACCAATTGAGGTTTGGTGAAAAACACATAGAAGGGGGGGTTGAATATATGTGTATGTGTGAACAATGAAATTTTAAAAATGTTTTCGTAAGAAGGCTTTTTTTCATCCAGTGAAATAATATTGGTTAATGCTAAACTAAAACTGCTCAGGATTGGTTCAACAAAATACTTTTTACGTTTGGAACTTTATCATCTATACACAAGAAATGTTTCTTAGACGAACGCTTATTTCTTAAAGGAAACATTGTTTCTTCAGATAATGGTTTAAACACGAGTGTTTCTTGTCTAGGAGTAGTTTCATTGATGAATAAATAATGGACAAAGTTTTTAATATGATTTAGAAAATAAAAAAAATCTCATCTAAAATGTTAATAGATATTGCAAGGATTTTATATTGGTTCGCTCAGACTGAGCTACGTCCAGTTTTCTTCAAAAGAAGGGTTCCACTAGATATTCAATGAAGTATAAGTATTATGACCACTTCTGGTTTGCCAAGTATGGTCGACCACTTCTGACCCGTCAACTTCATTCATTGACGCTAGTATTTTTAGTCAGCCTCTTCAAGCTCGCATTGAGTATTCTCGACCACTCCCGATCCTAAGTATTCTCAACCATTGTTGGTTGGCTAATAGCACTAGTATTCTTTGTTCAGCCTCTTCAGGCTCTCAGTGAGTATTCTTGACCACTCCTTGTTGGCTAACTTCACTCATTAGCTCTAGTATTCTTTGTTCAGCCTTTTCAGGCTCTCAATGAGTATTCTTGACCACTCTTGGTCTCGAGTATTCTCAACCACTCCTGGTTGGCTAATGGCACTAGTATTTTTTGTTCAGTCTCTTTAGGCTCTCAGTAAGTATTATCGACCAACTCATAGCTTGCTAACTTCAACATTAGCGCTAGTATTCTTTAATCATCCACTTCTGGCTCTTAGTGAGTATTCTTTGACAAGCCTCTCCAAGCTTTACAAGTATTATTTCCTTAGCCTTTTCAAGCTTTACAAATGATAAGTAAACAATTGAGGTTAAGTGTTTGGTTTACTCTCACAAAGAGGATACATATGTTTTCTACAATCACTAAAGTGTATGATCCTAAGTTACACTTAGAACACCTTAGACTATAGAGATAATTAAATCAATGTACATTTTACTCTATGAGCTCTATCTCTAGTTTCCTTACTTTGTGGGCTTGATATCACTCTCTGTCTATCTTTTTTAAAAGCCAACCTTTTCAGGTTTGAAGTTGTGACATATATATAGTCTTGTAAAATTTGCTTGTTGCAAGTGTCTGTTGAAGCGGATATAGTCGTTGATGATTATTTTGATATTTCATTTAATGATCATGATCTTGCATTAAATGTTGTTTCCTGTTTATAGACCTTGCGTGAAGTCTTCTTTGCCTTGTTAGTAGTTGTGTTTGAATTTAGCAGAGACTTAGGAACCTTTTTGTCCTTTTCCGGTCGCATAGTTGTAGAGCGTTGTCCTTATCTGAAAAAATAATGTACTTTTTCTGACACATGCATGCTTTTGCTTCTGCGCTTGATTTCTCTTTTTCTATTCTCATTTTATTCACTTGATCATATTGAGAGCTCTTTTATATTTGTAGATGATGCCTGAGTAGTCTTTTAAGACTTGAATCTTTAAGTGCTTTTATGGCAATCTTCGTTTGCGTCTGTTTGTCCATGTGCGTCTCAAGACGTGATCTTCGTCTTTCAATCTGATATATAGTTGACTTTCTTTTGACCAATGCTTCGTCTAATTTTCTCTCTAGGTTGTCCTTGACACATCTTCATCTGATACTTGAAGCTTTCCTCTTTATCTTAGTTCTAGAGTAGGAAGTGGCACATGCACATGCTCTATTCTTCAGCTTTTCTGTACTTATGTTTTACCGAAACTCTAACACGCTCGTGAGAATTAACATGTATTATATATGTCTCATTCAAAACCCTGCTGGGAATCGCTTTGTCTGACTCAACAACCTAGAGTCATGTTTGGTCCTTACAATGTCAAAGAATCAAGATGTGCTTAAGTTGACCTAATTTGTTTTCATTTTGGCTGAGGGTCTTGATTGATTGGTGCTTTAGTGCTTTTGAATTTTGAATTTATGTTCCTGTTCATTAATAGATCAATGATGAACTCTTAGAGTTAGGATTCCATTATGTCTTGTTAAAGTGTTCAAAGTTTCATTTGATTCCAAAATTTCCCTTAAAATAAAATTTTTAATCAAAGATCTCTCTAAGTCTCGGCTATAACTTGTAATTCTACTTGGTGCATGATTCAAATTGTCTTGAAATCTGGAAAAATATCTTTAGAATAGAGAAAAACAAAGAAAATTGGAAGAAGGAAAAATTTGAAGTAGATTGAAAATCTAAGGTGTTTGGAGTAGGTCATGTACCAAGTGAATCAACAAATTTGAATTACAACTTGTTGCTAAAAAATTATGTTTTATTTATCCGAGACTTGTACCAACTTGTAGTGACTAAAAACAAATTTTGTTAAATGGCATTAAAGTTCTCATTTGAATCAAAAAGAAAAGTGAAAAAGAAAGTTAAAAAAAAGTATAGAAGAAATTTAGAAGCAAAAGTAGAAAAGAACAATTTATTGAAAATAGCTTGAGTTTGGTCACTACATGATTGGTCTTTTCAAATTGATGCTTAATTCTTCTTCTTATTCTTGTTTTGAGTTTTCTTCATCTATTCTGGAACCATTCCAGGTTATTCCACTTAAGTACCAACTTCATTAGGTGAATCTTAATTTTAGTACTTTTAGTCTTCATTGGATTCCTTTGAGTTTGTCTAGACTACTTGTAGACCCCTAAAATTGTCCGGGTCGGAAATAAAAAAATACAATTACCATCTGAACTGTCTTGGTGAAAATTTGAGTTTGTTTCAGCATCACATGCACTCTTTATTAGCCCTTTTCCCTTCCAATCAAGACTTCTTAAAAGGATTTCCTCCTCTCTTTCCATTTCTACTTCAGCCTCTTCGCTTATTTCATGATCAAATCCCAAAAGATGTAACAAACCATGAACCTGCAAATAGATAAAGTAATTGATGTTCTCAAGTTCATCCTTTCAGTTCAAACAACGTAGACATAGTATTATAAGATAAAATTCCAACATGCTCAGTGTAGTATCTATTTTAAACACACCACGCCAAGAAATAAATGAAACTCCAGCTCACTTTCCACTTATGCTGGCAGCAGAAGACAGGTACCATAAGCTAAAATAATAAACTTCAGTAACAAACAGAAAATAGTCAGAATATCATGAAACCAACCATGAGGATTCAGATCTCATCAAGAAGAGTGTGCCCTCTTTCCTCTGCTTGTCTTACTGCTATCTCAACAGAAATTACAATATCACCCAACATAAGCTGTAAACAATGGAATTCATCACACAGATTAGCATTCCAACATGTAAGTTCTAAACTTTATTGTCTACAACACCCTGCACAACTTATAA